TCCTGCCCATATTCCCAGCCATTTTGCCACTCAATAACGCACCGGCAGCTGCACCCACCGTCGAAAACGCACCAAACGTCGAAAACTGTAATAATAATAATAATAATAATAATAATAATAATAATAATAATAATAATAATAATAATAATAATAATAATAATAATAATAATAATAATAATAATAAAAGAGAAAATTGCATTCGGAAAAAACAAAATCGGAGAAAAGGGGGAACCACAATTATAAAAGAGAAAATCAGATAGAGAGCAAAAGTCCTTTTCATGCATCAGTAAAAATATTATTTATCGTTGAAATTAGACATTAATCGAGTCACGTACCTTTCCTTTTCTTTGTTACCGTGTCTCGTCTTCTTGCGCATTCTTAAATATTCCATCATCATTGATTTATTTTATAATCTCACCGCCATCATAATGCATTAGCATAATTTAATATAATTATTCGTTCAACATCTCCAAAAAATATCTGAAATATATTATTATTTGTTTGAATTTTTTAAATTTTCAGAAGAGAACCCGTAATTTTGCTTAATGACAAAGATTAACCAAACAAAATGTTAGCGTCGGTGTTGTATTTGGAGTTCTTTAGTCTAATAAGATTTTTCTATGTTTTTTATTTTATTTTTATTTCTACATAAGGTATTTAAATTATTATAAATCATCATAAAATAAGAAAACGAGTCCGAGACACACAAAAAAACAGCCGTTGAAAGTAAATGATAAGAATATAAAAAATAATATTTTTAATTTAAAATACTGAAAAAGGATAGCTACTGGATTGAATAAAAATTAGAAAAAAAAGAAAAGATAAAACATATAAAAATATAAAGAAAATCCATTTTTTTTTAAAAAAATCTTGTTATTAGTTTTTTAATTAATAAGTTTTTTTAATGAAAATTTTAATTAATAAGTTGCATATTTATATACAATGTTCTCATATATATATATACACATACACGTATACGTACAACATAGAACTTGACTTACTTCAGCAATGGAAAGGTCCAAGTCTTGCATAATTCCTTTCTGAGAACCAGAAGTGTAAATGCTCTGGAAAATACCATTAATCCCCAAAAGAATTCATTATTCGTTAAATAAAAGACAATTAAAGAGTTTTTTTCCTTTTTTTTTTGTAAATAAAACGGAAAACGATGTCGAAACGATGTTAATTAAAAGGAAAAAAAAGGCTTACGGCACAGCCAAAGCTGAAGGAGCAAAAGACAGAAACAAAGGTGCTGAGGATCGCACATGCAGTGACACGACAGTCTTCGTTGTCGTTTTGGTCTTTACGTTGAAGGAGCCCCGCTTCCATACCTCTTTCTTCCACCACCACCATGATTTTTCTTTCTTGAATTTTCCCGAGAAACAAACAGAAATACAGATGACTCTCAGAGAGAGAGAGAGAGAGGGAGGGTATGTTTTGTGATATGCTTAGCCGGTCATGTGTGCTAATCTTAATTTAAATGAAAGAACTAATGAGAAAATCAGATAAAAAAAAAAAAAAACTAATGAGAAAATGTTTCAAGATATTTTCCGAAAAGAAAGCTTCAATATTTTTTTCCCGTAACTTTCAAGAATTATTATTGTTGTTCTTATTTTCTTTCAAACTAATAAATCGTTTATTTTCTGAATCACACGATATATCCCAATTTTGGCAAAAAAAAGTAGGTAATAAATTGGTCATTAGAAATACATTTATATACATTTATTTTGCCAATAAACACTTCTATCTATACCATGAACAAACAAAAACTTCCACATCATACGTGACCGAACTCTCCATATATGCTACTCATTTACTTTTTAACAAATTTAATTCATATATATTTCTTTTTTTCCAAATTTTATCACTATTTTATTTATTAGACCGAACCATATACTATTCTCACGAAATTTACTGAGATCTACTGTGCGAATCGTTGTAAATACTAATGAAATCTGGCACCGATTCGAGATCGAAATGTTATTGTTGAGGTTTGTTGAAAGAAGTGAAAGCTTCTGATTCTTTTGGAGGGTTAGGCTTTGATCCAGTTTTGATAAGCTGGGCGGTTCGACATTAATGAACCGGTTTGGTTTGGAGATTAGGGTTAAAACAACTCTGCAGCAAGATTACGTCGTTGCCCTTCGGCACTTAACAAAACGCCCCCGTTTTGTCTGGTAACCTGTCCAAAATAAATCAGCTCCCGTTTTGATTAAACCACCAAATTGGAAACCTCTAATCACTGTGGAGACTCTTATCTGAGCACCATGGTCGACAGTTACGATCAAAATTTCATTATGAAATTTATTTTGACGGCAGAAATTGGCAAATTGCTGTAAATTCAAGAAAATTTCATTATATAAAAACAATCATTGAATGTGAATCAAGAATGGAGTTTTGTTTTAAGCAAAATCAAATTTTAAATCATCAAAATATTTAAATACTTAATTAAAATTGGAATAATATAATATACCGATTCAAAACCATCAAAATTATTATGATTTTATATAATGCTTTCGTTTCACACCAAATTTTCAATGTGGTATGAAAACGAAACACAAACTACATTGCTGTACACTGAGCCGTCTCAAACTTTTATGGGGCAGGTACATTTTATAAAATTTAATTAATAAAAATGATAAATTTATATAATAAAAAATATTATTATTTAAAGTATTTTAATAATAAAATATAAATTTATATAATAAAGATTAATAATAAAATTATTTAATTATCATCAATAAATTTTTAACGTTTTTATGTATTAATGATAATAATATTAATTCATAAAGGAAATCAATAAATTAGGATTCATAAATACAAAGTATTTTCAATTTTTAAAATAAAATGATTAATTTATTATTAAAATATAGGGATTGTGAAATCAATTTAAAATTTCCATTTAATATTGAATTCGTATTAAACTAGAAAAAATAAATTTTATAACCTAATTAATTTTTATAATATATTTATTTATTTCTTCTATAATAATTATATAACGTAATTATATCTAAAAAAATATTGGAATAATGATTTCAAAAATAATGTTAAATTATAAAAGATATTTTTTATAATCATTTATAATTAATGATAAGAATTATTTTAAAAAAAGTGGGACTTCAAATTAATGGAGCCCTGTTCAAAAGCACCCGTTGTATCTTATGGCATCCCTAATCGCATCAAACTTGGCTCGAAACTTATTATATATTGTGTTGGGGCCCACTCGATGCACTTCTTTCAATTTTATTAGTCTTTTCGTAATTTTTTTAAAATCAGATTATTTTCGTAATTGTTTTGGGTACAATTGATTTAATTTAATTGGTAATTTATTTATCCGTTCGCTGTATATTGGGTTAAATTGGTAACTTATTTTCCTGTTTTTTTGTCATATTTGATTTTTGCATCAATTATTGAATTTTCGGATGAAACAACTCCAATCAAATAATAATTTAAAAAATAATGTTTAATATTATTTTTCCTGTAGGGCTACTGTTGAAAAATAAATAAGTCGCTAATATTTCCCTCCACCGCGAACGGGCGGATCAATTTGGCGCCTTTCCAAAACCAAAACGATTTCAGAACTGCCGGTTCGTTCAGTATAAAGGAAAAAAAAGAAGGTAAAAGAACAATCGGCGCGAGAAACCCATACATCTTCCTACACTGCCGTGTAACCTCACCGGAAACCATCCGTCGCCGCCGTGAGATCTCACCGGTAAACTTTTTCCCGCCGCCGATGGACTGTCGACCGAAGCGACCGCAGACCACAGGATTCGCTGGAAGGAATCTGAGGAGAAAGCTCGATAAGGATTTCGGGGAAACCGTCATCGATCACAACATCGGGATCCGACGCCAGGTGGAAGTTCTCAAAACATGCTTCTCCGATGTAGAATCCAGTCGCGCAGCCGCCACTGTTGCCGCTCGTGCTCTCTGCGACCTCGCCGAAAATGGTAGATATATGGCGCTCCTTCTCTTTGTCTTGCAGTTGTATTGGTCTGTCACACTATAGAGATCGGATCGTTGGTTTGGTTAGTATCTATATGAAATTTTGGCTGATTATATGTTTTTTGTTACTTCTCTGTTTGTAGAGGAAAACGTGGATTTAATCGTTAGATTTGGCGCTGTTCCTGCTCTTTTGGGGTATCTAGATCTTCCGCGGTCGTTGGGACATTGTGAAAATGGCCAGGGGTTGAGTGATCACGTGTTGGAGAAAGAATGCGCTGCTGCCCTCGGACTTATTGCGATTAAAGTAAGTTCTCAACATCTCGAACCGTGTCTGTAGTTACTTGATAGTTGTTCCACGTTTGTTTCTCTTTGAATCGACATTGTTTAGGAGCAACTGGTTTATTTGTTCATAAAAAAATTGGTTTATTTGGATTAAAAAAGTGCGCATCATTTGCGCCTGAGGCTCAAAAACGGTGAAGCGTTTTAATTTTCGCATTATGTCTGAAAACGGGCCTCTAGGAAGTGGGGAAGATGAACAGGTTTTAATGTGCATTTAAATTCTGTTAAATGCATAATAAAATCTCTTCAATATTAAAAAAAATGATAAAACCACGGTAAAGATAAAAATAAGAAAAAAGTAAACATTGTATAAAATCCGAAATTGTAAAAGGACAAATAGATTTAAGTATATACATATATATTATTTATATTTTAGTTTCAATTCATTTTTATATGGAAAATTATTTATGAGCCTCATCCATGAGATGTGCGCTTTCGCCTTGTGCCTCGTGCTTCGGTTTTTTGGATGTTTTGCGCCTCAAGACGCCTAAAGCTTTTTTAAACTTGCTGGTTACATTGTTGTTGTGTAGGATGTTTTTTCTATTGTGAAAAATATTACTTCACAGTTCACTGATGTTAACCCAACTCCGTTTCACATAGCCTGAGTACCAGCAACTTATTGTGGATGCCGGGGCCATAGGCCATGTCGTGAAGTTATTGAATAGACCATATGTTCCCTGTGGGTGCAAGGCTGCTAAATCATTACTCAGAAGAGCTGCTGATTTGATCACCCATATTTCTCATGAGAATCCAAGGATTAAAACAATCGTGAGGTAAAACTATTTGCTCAATTCTTGTGTACTGCTGATCTTGATTCTAGTTTGACTATTAAGGCATGACACCTTTCTGGAACGCATATTCAGGACCGAAGGTTGCATTCCACCTCTTGTCAAGCTTTTGAATTTTCTTGACGTTAAAGTACAGAGGGCAGCTGCAGGGGCCTTGAGAACCCTTACATTTAGGAATGATGAGAACAAGAATATGGTATCTTTCTGTCTGTTAGTGTTGCCTTTTTAGCCATCTAAAATATCAAGTTCTTACATGAAAGGTGTGGATTTGCAGGTTGTTGAGTTAGATGCTTTACCATCGCTGGTATTGATGCTTCAATCGAACGATCCTTCTGTACATGGCGAAGCGGTTTGTTCTTATCTAATTTTTTGCTTAAATCAATTGTTTTCATTCTTCCATTCAGTCTTACCATTGTGGATTGGCCAGATTGGTGCAATTGGGAATCTTGTTCATTCATCTCCAGACATCAAAAAGGAGGTTCTTCGTGCTGGTGCTTTGCAACCTGTTATTGGTCTGCTGCGGTGTGTCCTGTTTTTATAATTTTAGTTTCATACTCGGCTTAAGCTGTTTTTAGTTCATCAAACTAAAAGCCATTCCCATGATAGTTCCACCTGCCAAGAGACACAGAGAGAAGCAGCATTGTTGCTAGGCCAATTTGCAGCACCTGATTCAGACTGCAAGGTGAGTTTCTGTCTCTTTGTTGAGTTTAGCTTGCAAGGTTCAGATTTGGATTTTGGCTTCAGAGCCAGAAAGAATCATTAATTTCTTTTGTACTTTTGATAACTAAAGATGGAAAGTATGACTTTTTGGTAAATGGAAATACCAAAGTTTGTAACAAGGGCGCTTCTGCAGGCACATATCGCCCAAAGAGGAGCCATCCCACCCTTATTAAAATTGCTTCAATCGCCAGATGAGCATCTCAAGGAAATGTCGGCATTTGCTCTTGGTCGCTTAGCTCAGGTAATTCTATTTGTATGGGATGTGGATCTTCTCTTTTCTTATGGCATCTTAATTTCTATTCATAGTTGACTCAATCCTATGAGGAGATGATTGGCATTGTTTTTCCTTTATTTTCTGAAGGCAAGTAAATACGCCGCTTAATCCTAAAACGCTGAAAATTTTAAATGCTGCAGGACACACACAATCAAGCTGGGATCGGACAGAGTGGCGGCATAGTATCACTCCTAAGCCTTCTTGATATGAAAACAGGGGCTGTTCAACATAATGCTGCGTTTGCTTTGTATGGACTTGCTGATAACGAGGTACACCACGGCTCAAATTAGTGTTTCTACTCCTAAGGTATACGTGACAAAACTCAACTTATTTTGATTTCCTCGATGTAGGATAATGTTGCAGAGTTTATCAAGGCCGGCGGTGTTCAAAAGCTTCAAGATGGTGAATTATATGCGCAAGTATGCCTTTTACTGCTTTTGTACGCAAGAAAGGCAATCAAATCTCATGGTTTTCTGAACTCTAATGACTGTTACTTTATATACAGCCGGTTAAGGATTGTGTGACAAGGACATTGAAGAGACTGGAAAACAAGATTCAAGGACGCGTGAGTACATTTCTGGCTCTCATTCTCACCTTTCCTATATTCGTTATGGCCATAGTTTGATCCGTTTGTTTCCCTAACTGGCCGGCTGCCCGATCTTTTAGGTATTAAACCAGTTATTATATCAAATGAGAATTGCGGATAAAACAATCCAAAAGCGAATTGCTCTAGCTTTAGCACATCTTTGTGAGCCTGAAGATGGAAAGTTGATTTTCATTGATAACAAAGGTGATATATTCTCTGTCTTCTTGCTTCCATGCCAATCTTGTCAATGTTTTTCTCCTTAGTTTATTTTCTTCTTATTGCTCTGAACTGATGCTCCTGCAGGCTTAGAGGCTCTAATGGAGCTTCTAGATTCCAGAAACCCTGAACATCAGAAATCCAGCACAGAGGCTTTATACAAATTAGTAACGAAAGCCGCCTCCTCTGGTCCGGAGAATGCAGCTCCTTCTTCCCCAGTCCAACGCGTATAACTTCTTATCTTGTGAAATATCAGATAATGTTCCAGTGAACTCCGGGACTTGTTTTTTGACATGGAAAACTTGCAGGTGTTTTTAGGTGAGAAGTTCGTGAATGATCCTACTTTGTCTGATATCACCTTCCTCATCGATGGTATGCCACTCATTCTTCTGTTTTGTACTTCCTGCTGCTAAGCTCTTCTCTGATTCATTGAATTCATCCATCTGCATTTTCAGGTAGACAATTCTATGCCCACAAGATTTGTTTGGTAGCTTCTTCAGACACGTTCCGTGCACTGTTTGATGGCTTTTACAAGGTTCGACACTGCCAAATTTATTTGGCTGCTTTTATGCTTTCGATTTCGAAAACAGCGAATCTAGTTGTGTGTAAATCAATCATTTAAGAATGCACCTCTAATTTTCAGGAGAAGGATGCTCAAAACGTTGAGATCCCGAATATAAGATGGGAAGTTTTCGAGCTTATGATGAGGTGAGAAGTTCAGAATTCAATGTCCTCCCAAAGTTCATACACGACAACGAAATGAATATTTTTCCAATCATTTCTCTGAAAATACCAACACACCCCCTTTGCAGATTCATATACACCGGAACTGTTAACATCACCAGAGAAGTGGCTCCAGATCTGCTTAGAGCGGCCGATCAGTATCTTCTCGAAGGGCTAAAACGTCTCTGCGAATACACCATCGCTCAGGTATGACTGAATCATATATACCATTGGATTTCAACAAATCAGATCATCGTGTGTTTTGATCTTTACATGGTTAAAAGGGTTCATCCGTTTCTGATCGCTTCTACAATTCGGAATTTTCGTGTTTTTTCAGGATATCTCCGTCGATAACATATCATTAATGTATGAGTTAGCCGATGCATACAATGCCTCGACATTGAGACGATCTTGCACGCTATTCGTTCTCGAGCATTTCGATAAGTTGATGAGCACCAAGCCCTGGTATGTCATCTATCGGGACCGAATCAGTTTGGTTTCTTGTTTGTTACATAATATAGTCATATATTTTTGGCTTGTAAATGGAATGCAGGTTTAGGAAATTTGTAGAGGATATCATACCAGAAGTTAGGAGTTACGTCACCGAGGTTCTGACCCGTTCGGTCCATTGTGACCAAACCACTGTATAGATCAGATCTTTTGGATTTTGGTCAACTTTCCCTGGATGCATTATCGGTTTTGTATATCATTAAATGCCGATTACCTGTCTCCACCTTATATATCTATTTATTATTTTTATTTCGTAAAATGATTTATCTATTTGTTATGCAACATCGCTTTACTAAAAAACTCATCAATGCCAACCACAGAAGACCCTTTAACACCGCAACCATCCTCCTCCATAGCTGTCTTGATCACTTCCTTCGCTTCCTTTGCCTTCTTCCTCATCCCCTCTCCAACCTCACTCTCCTCCATCACTAATCCCATCTTTGCTACGATCTCTTCCCTCTTGATTTCGCACTTCTTCCCTCTCGCGATCTCGACGCAAACTCCCATCTCTTCCCGCAAGAACTTCGAATTGAAGCATTGCTCTCCCGCCATCGGCCATCCGAGGATCGGTACCCCGTGGCTCAGTGCCTCGAGCGTCGAGTTCCATCCGCAGTGGCTCAAGAATGCCGACGTTGCCCTGTGTGACAAGATATCTACCTGCGGTGCCCATCTCTCCACCACTAGACCTCTTCTTGATCTTTTGATTCGATCCTCGAACCCTTTCGGTAACCATTCTTCCGCGTTGAACGGTCCGTTGATGTCGAACCCTGTCGGTGGCCGTACCACCCAGATGAAATTCTTCTCGCTGGCTTCTAATGCCGCGGCTAATTCCATCATATGGGCTTGAGAGATGGTGTTCATTGAACCAAAGCAGATGTATAACACTGAATTCTCTGGTTTTGAGTCGAGCCATGCCTTCAGATCCTCCGTTTGGAACGCCAGTTTCCCTCTCTTGTCGCCGGAGAGCAGAATCGGGCCGATCGCCCAGACGGGAATCCCTAATACTGTCCGGAAATACGATAACCCGGTCTGTTCAAGCTCTGCAACTGTGTTGAACATGAATCCATCCGAATCAGCCCATCCAGACATGTTGTTCTGTTGGAAAACCGACCAATCATCTGTCCCATCGGCTTCTAACATAGCGAAATTCAACTGGGTTCTGTGAATTTTCCCGGCTCCTGGGAAGTCTTCCAGGAAAAACTCGTCGTCCTCTGTTTTCGTGTGCGGCAAGGTAGCCCAGACCGATCGATAACACCCTAACCCGAAAGCTCCCGAAGCGCTGAACGTCACGGTGAAAACACCGAGCTCTTTACAAACCCTACCGACCCATCCCATGAAAAAATCTCCGATCACGCAAACCGAATCCTTCTCCGTCGCAAGATTCATCAGAAGGTTCCTGAAGGGTTCCTTGAGGGACACGGAAGCGTGGAGAAGGCGGATCACGAGAGGGTAAGGGAGAGAATCGAAATTCTCGGCGTCGGGAGGGAGGCCGTGATCGGAGCTTTCGAAGGGTATTTCGAGAAGTTCGATGGAAGATTCCGGCGGGAGAGATGATCGGAGATTCGAGATGTTCCTCTGGGTGTTGACGAGGGTTATGGTGAAGAGATTGTCTCTGTTTTTGGTCTTCTCCATGTGAAGTGCAAGGGCAAGAAATGGGATTATATGCCCTTGTGCCATGAAAGGAAACATCACTACGTTTAGATTTGTTGGTTTTTCAGACGCCATTGAAGAGCACGGAGAAGAAGAAGAAGACGACTCTGTGGTTGGGTGAGGTTTCAGATTCGGACAGGTTTTTAAGTCCGACATGTGGGGCATTTTGGTAAAGTCACTTTATGTAATTTCTTTAATAAAAACGGTCACTTTTCTTTAGAGTCGTGTCACATCTTGACACGAGATCCAAAGTCTAACCCGACCCGATCTAGTCTAATTCGGATTGAGATATTTAGATTTGAAAATTTTTAAACTTTCCGAATTGACTCAGATCAGATTTTGGGTCGGTCCTAAAATACTATATTTTTTTAAAAAAAATTAAAGAATAAATTTAGCGGACTGATATGGTCGAATCCAAGCTCGAACCTTCGGATGATTATAATGATAAACCCTTATCAACACCAACTGATCTAAAACTAAGTAACCCATAACCTCAAGATTAGGGATGGTGTTTAAGATTTTAGTTTGGTATTCAATTTAAAAATGATTTATTTTATTATTATAAAATTGTACCAAATTTAAATCCCATGTTATTGGGTTTGATTTGGTATCGGTTGTGTTCCATTCGAAATCATAAAATAGATAATCACGTGGTTAATATGTAATAGTGACCCGGAATTCAAATTTCATTAATATATGCAGTTATTGACTATTAGAATTTTTAAAAAGTTATCTTCTGACCGGGAAAACCCCATTTGATCAAAGGATACTAAATACGTCCTTGTAAGTTGTAACAATTATTCGATTGGATTATATATTTACGTCCATAATATTTGACCCATCATAATGACGCATAGGCCACTAAATACATCAAGCCCATTGCATACGAAATATTCGAATTGCTAATTTAATTTTCTTTCTTCAAATCATTTACATATGAAAATTCGTTGATTGAAGTGTTTGGCATTCATAGAGACAAATCTAAATTAATGGGCCCATAATAAACTCGCATATTCTCGCGTTCACACAATCAATAGGGAAAAAAATGACAAAATTCTTTTACTAGCAAAAATATTTGACCCATCATAATGATACAAAGACCACTCACTATATACAAAGTTCTAAATCCAACATACCCTATGTATTTATGAAATCATTAATATTTATATTTATGAAATCATCATTTTAATTTTGTGTACGTGTATTAAAAAAATGACAAAAATCGCACAATATAATTGAACTAAATAAAGTTGTAGGTGGGACAAATTGGAGTAACCCCAAATATATGAATTTGAATTATTTTAATAGAGCTATATGTATATATATATATATATCAAAATCGTCTACATTCAACTTGATAGGGATCGGTTGAATTGAATATAAATAGGGGAAAACTACAAATAGTGGTTTTTGGTGATACAGTTTGTGGAAATTATGATCGGTTAGATCTTTAGATTTTATTGTTAAATTTTATTTAAATAAAATCTCCATACAATTTTTAAATTAACTAATGTTAGATAGTGAATAACTGATGGTGGAAAAATTATGTTCCAAGAAACTTTCTAGAACGAAGATCAAAGAAAAAGACACAACAACAAAAAAAGACAGAGGCTTTTACAATATGAACTTGTATGTTCAAATTTCAAGACTTGTACCTGCAAAGAACCTTACATCTCAAAACCCTATCTTGAACATAAAACCCAGGCATCACCATAACCTTAACCCTAGCAGGTCCACGAGAAGAAGATGATCTCTGCCTATCTCCCGCCATATCTTCCATGTAATTCGACTCGAAAACCCGATTCTCTTCCACCCTTAGTACCCCTAACGGTGGATTGAACGAGAAGGCAAGCAGATGAAGCAGCCAGATACATTTCGCCGCCACGAAGAAGGCCTGAAGAAGCTGTTCGGACCAGGGTCTGTTCCAGTTCAAGGTTGTAATGATGAGGTTCATCTTGTTATCGCAGAATCGGCTGAATTCCTCGCTGTAGTACTTCGTGCCCTTTTTCAGTACCTCGTTCCAGCTCAAGTTTCGTAGAGATACGAACGACGAGAACTGGGATTGCCGATCTTGTTCCGGGTCCAAGAATTTCGGCGTACCGTTCTTCTGGAAGACGCTGTTCTCGAAATCTTGGTATATGGATTGGTTTATGATCGCTTCCAGGTGGTACTGAATGGTTTTCGAGTATTTAGAGTTGAATGATAAGTTGTAGGACTGAAGGAGAGAATCTATGTTACCAAAGAGGGTGGCATCGTCTTCTTCGATCTGCGAAATTAGGGTTTGCAAGAACTGCTTCACTGACAATCTTGCTTCCGATACGATCTGCAAGAACCCTTCAACCATCACGTCCTCGCTGACGGGCATTCCCGAGTTCTCGGAGGTTCCGTCCATTGATTTCTTAACGCCTTTTCTCGGAACGTTCCAGAACCTTTCGGGACGGATATTCTCCCGTGAAGTCGTTGCCTGTCTCAAGGCTTTCTTCAGACTCTCGCAATAAGTTTCCAAGTACTCAAGCTTCTGACTTAGCTCTCCCAGCGAAGATTTCATCTCGGATACCTCTGTTAGGGCCGCATCCCGACTTTTGTTCGCTTCCATTAACTCCCTCTTCAGCTTCTCGATCGACATTACGCCCGACGAGTCCTTCAAGACTTGCGAAACTTCTTCCGATTTATCGGTTCTGTTGGGAGAATTGAAGATGACACTCCCATTGTTCTTCTGCCTCTTCCTGAACTTTGGGAACAGCCAAGAAATGACTCCTCCCTTGTTTCTTGGCTGAGAAGAAACAACAGACGAGTGAGTATCCGTCAAGGGCACGACGATATTGGAGTTCTTCATGCTCTTCGTATCGAAACCTCCACCAACAGCAGCGGGTTTGCATCTGTTGCAGGACGAAACCGATCTGAAATCACCCGAACTGCAGTTTCTCCGCCCCGATGTGTAGGAATAAGCCTGCGGAGATCTCAGATCGTCGGTCATCGGACAAACATGGGACTGCAAATCTCGAATCTTTCTCGAAGCCGAAGCTTTGTAAGAATCGGACAGGAAATTGTTCCTGAATTCTTCCTGCTCTCGATCTTCTTCTTCTTCAAGACAGCCAGCACATTCGTCCCAGCTTTCAGATAGCTTTGGATTCTTTTGATGAAACGCAGGTAAGGGCTCGTCATCATAGCTCTGTTGCATCATGTTTTGAAACAGTGATTAGTTCCAAAATCTCAATAATTATAACCAAATAAACGTCAAATTAACACTGTATGCAATCAGAATCAGTACAGAGACAAATCCAAAATTGTCTAGATACGGACAAATTATTTTGACTAATTGTGGAATAAGTATAGCATTAGTGTGTTTTTTTTTCAAGATTACACCAAATTTGTATAGTTCAATGTTTGCACCCCAACCATAATCAACAGACTTCACGACCCTTTTGCAGACGCAATAAAATCTACCAAAATTGTGGATTTTTTTTTGTAAATATAGTTAACCTAATAAGCTAAGATTATTGCAGAATTGACCAAAGACATAAACTTTTAATAAATTTGCTAAATTTATCGACGACCCAATTAGGGACAAGGGGAAAAAATAAATCTGAGGCATGATACGTGCATCAAATATAAAGTCTGATTCATAAAGCCCAAAAGATAATGTATCAAGATATGGATACCAAAATCAAATGCAAGATTAATGACGAAATTTTGGCAGAAATCCTTCAAGTTTTCATTTGCTGCTGGTCAGATGGAGGATTTCTACCAAGATTTTCATTTTCTGCTCGCTCGAAATCATTAATCCCATCAGTAAATATGAGAAGGAGAATCCAAACAATGTATTGACAGAATATATTTTTTTTCAACAAAAAAAAGAGGTTAAAGACGGTGAGAAAATGAGTCAAACATTTCATCGATCAACTCGCGAACTATCCAACCTCAACTTTTGAACAGTTTCCCAGATTTCTAACCAGACCGGAACAGAGATTGAGGAGAGAGACCCAAGTGAAGGGTAAATGGATTACTCCATCTGAATCAGTTTTCGTCAGATCAAAATCATGAGAAAGAGATATTGGGTGAGTGAAAATTGGGGAACTTACAGGGGTGAAGACAGGGTAATCCTGGGCAGAGAGGTTTGGGAGAGGACGAGAAGAAGGAGAAGCGCCAAAAGCAGAGGAAGGGCTCGAGTTCTGAAGAAGAGCCGCGTGAAGAGCCCTAAGCTTCACTGCCTTGGCAATGGCTTCTCCATTGTTGTTGTTGTTGTCGCAGCAGGTTGTGGTAATGGTTGTATCAGCAGAAGCCATGGAAGAAGGAGAAGAGGACAAAGGAGAAGAACATGAAAGAGAAAAGGGTCTGAAGAGGATTACGTCTTTGTGGAGAAACGGGGGAGAGAGAGCAAATCCAAAGGAGACTGTTTTGTCTCTCTTCTCTAAAAGGATTGATGGAAGGGGAGCATGTGAAGTGGAGAGACCGTTTTTTTTTCTTTCTTTTTTGTCTCGTAATCTTTAATTTTTGCTGTATGGTATGCGAAGGATACGATTTTACCAGAATGCCCTTGTCCTTTTTTTTAATATCATTAAAAAATTGCAGTGAAAAAATGAAATAAGAATAACTAATTGAGTAATAGGGATTTAGAAAATTCAGAGATTCATAGAATATATAAAGGTGAAATTTATTGATTATGTATTGATCTTTATTGAAACGTCGATTTTAATGTGAAAAAATAAATAAATTTAGGGAATCATTCACATCGAGTGAAGAACATTTCCCAAGTTGCATTTTGATAGTTTTCGTCGGATTATGAATAATTAATACTATTTAATAAATCCCGTGTGAGGGGTAAATTGATCAAATGAAACTAGATATATGTATATATATATATGGGGGGGTACCCTAAAGTTGGGGTAGTGGTGGGGGACAGAAGATAAGCAATTGTTGGAGTTTTTTTAATTAAATGAAAGGAGATATTTTTATATGTTATTCTCCACATTTATATTCTAAAACTTAAAAAATATTTATGACTTTTGGGAGTTTTACAATTTTTCAATCCTATAAATAGGAGGCTTTGTTTTCATTTTTAAGAACATCAAGAAAAACACAAAAGCTTTCTATAAAAGAAAGAAAATCATCTTTTTTCCTTTGTGATTCAAACCGAGCTTTGAGTTCGACAAGGCACCGGAGTTTGAAGTACCACTGTTCCGGTGAGGTACGTCCGTCCTATCCTGGGAGGATATATTCCATTAACCGTAGGTACCGCGCGGGGAATAATTTCCTTAAGGAGACACGGTTCGCCGTGGGTTCGGATTTGGTTTTCCGGTTTTAAAACAAAAATCATATTGATATAATGATGTTGGTTTGAACATAACTTTCTATACCGTTATCGGAATTGCATGTTCTTCATATCTTTCGTAGATATCAAAATTATCTTTCTAATGGTGTATAACATGGATGATTTGGTCGTATGTTCTGAAAGTTATTAAACTTGGACAGTCTTGGTATGAAATTGAAAGTTAACTATGCATGAATATGAGACATATAAAATAACACATCCAACAATGATTACTATGGGTCTCGTTCTAAAACATTCGGGTACCAACAACAAAAATATACGTAGCACTGACCTGTCTGAGAGAGGACGAGGAAGCAAAGGCAAAGGAGAGCAACGAGTGTTCCAAATGACTTGGCCATTTGATTTTTTTTTTTGGTTCTTTTTTTTTTGTTCCTTTGCTTTAATTGATGAATTACTTGGGATATATATACAGACGGGGAATCATGGATGAAAAATTATATAGTTGATGAGGTTGTAAGCAACTATAATTAAATGTAAATACAATCTTTTAATCATTATAATAAGCATGCATAGTTGCGAACACGATCACGATATATTAAATCGAACGAAGACGAATTTCCACGTTTGAAAATATGCAACCATGATTTTTTATCTTAATTAGTGACACATCGTTCCCCTGTAACTATATTGATTAATACTATACGTTATTGTATTTGGATTATCAGAACTGGTATCCTGCCAAAAGCCATTAACTCTACAGCCATTGTCCTTGTTCCGAAACTTCCAGGGGCAGAAAGACTCAAAGACTTTCGTCCAATATCGTGTTGCAACACGATATACAAGATCATTGCCAAGATTCTAGCTAATCGGCTCAAGCCTCTAGTCAAAGTTGTTACATTGTCCAGCCAATCTGCGTTTGTACAGGGTCGATCGATTGCTGAAAACTGTCTCCTAGCAACAGAGATTGTACGTGGCTACCACAAGCCGAACATCTCTAGTAGAGCGACCTTAAAGATTGATATAGCTAAGGCCTTTGATTCATTGAGATGGGATTATATCCTTCGGGTTCTTAGACTGCTGGGACTACCGGAAAATCTGGTTTCTGCTATCCAAGCTTGCATCACGGGACCATATTTCTCTGTCAGTCTTAATGGAGGACTCCACGGATTCTTTACGGGAACTAGGGGGCTCCGTCAGGGCTGTCCCCTTTCCCCGTATCTCTTCCTCTTGGGTTTGAATATATTGTCCACGTTGCTTCAGAGGTCTGCAAGGGAAGGCTCCATCGGGTTTCATCCAGGTTGTGCACCCTTGGGAATTACTGATCTAGCTTTTGCTAGAATTGAAGAGGACAACAAGATGACCGAAATGAAAGCTCGCGGGACAAGCTCGGTCTTAGGAGCAAACGTCATTGAACATGCTCCATCTGTTGGTAAGAAAAGAAAGAATTATTCTAACCAAAAGAATAACCCGAATAAATTTATTAAAAAATTTAAGGGTTCTTGCCACAACTGCGGTAAGCTTGGTCATCGAGCTGTGGTATTGGCACACACATGGCGGGTAGCACCAGAATCCATCCACCATTCCTTGGGATTTCCAACCAAGTTAACTTCAGAGATCATGGCACACAAATCAATATCTTCCACTCCGGAAGTTGTGTGCCATGATCTCTGAAGTTAACTTGGTTGGAAATCCCAAGGAATGGTGGATGGATTCTGGTGCTACCCGCCATGTGTGTGCCAATAAGTGGATGTTTTCATCTTATGTTCCCGCTAAAGATGGAGAAACTGTGTTCATGGGAAATTCCACAACTGCGAAGGTTGAAGGGACTGGAAAGGTTGCCCTCAAGATGACCTCCGGAAAGATA